AGCGGCAAGGGGGGGCACTGGCCTCCGTAAGAAGGCGCCAGGGGGAACCCCGAAGAGAAGGCGGAGAGGAAGTGATTGTTCATCCAGTTGGAAGAGCTATGGGCCCGCCGTGCCTATCCTTGTGACGGTTGTGGCGCTGTTGGCAGGTCAGCATCAAGAGCTCTGAATTCGCTTTGACAGCGGTCAAAATACGACAACACGCTTGCGGCTGTGTGAGGTGATCCCCGGCCTGGATGGGAAATTCTTGCAGATGGCTCAACGCTGAACGTCGGTTGGACATATTTTGGTTCTAATGCCCGCTAAGTTCGGTCTGACAATGTGCTTCATTTCGGGGCCCCAGTGGCCGCGCTGTTTTGCAGAGTGTGGAAGGGAAGGGCGTCAACGGCCCCTGCTGCGGGGCCAACGGAAGCCACTGAGCTAGGGTCGCTGGGGAGCAGCGGGGTGGGTGCCTGGGTGAAAGCCCTTGCCAAAAGCTTTCGCACATTGGGTAAAAATCAGGGGGTGACAGGGGCACGGGGTATCTCGCCGGCAGAGGGGGGCACTTTGTCGGATTTGACAAAGAGCCACATCGTCCAGCTGGCCACCTGGGCGCAAACCGTGCTGCGGAAGATTCCTTCCATCCGCATCGATCACAGCGGGGGCGGAGCACGTCGCAGGGGTTCAAGGGAGGCGCAAGCAACCCACTTCAGTTTCACGTCCTTGGAATGGATACAAGGAGAAGTTAGGCACTCGAAAGGTGTGTACCAGCTGCAGCGAAGCGCGTGCAGAGCACCTGTGCGATCTGAATGAAAACTCCAGCAGCTAGTGTGACGCCATGGTTCTCAATTTCTCATCACTCTGTGCACATCCATCCCACAGTGCTTTCTATTTGTTTCCTCTGCCTGGTACACAAGGCTGCTTGCTCTTCCTGGCAACTTGCATACTGTTCACCAGCCCCAGCTGACCTGCCCAGGGATGGTTTGTCCATTGACGGTGTTCAACTCAGCTTTCAGAATATGATATCTCTGTTGTGTATCTCGATGACTAACAGGAAGACCCCGGTCCATGTACCTGAACTCAGGCTCTACTCTCCAGTCGGTGAGCATCTTTGGGCATTTCAATATTGTGTTAATGCAGCATTAACCTACTGGTGTCGAAAATGTACAGTCTCAAGGCTGCAATGACCTCATGTGTTTGCAGTCATGGACGTGCAGGCCTTTTCTGGTAGCACAGGTGCAGGATCTGCATTGGATGAACTCGTCAAAACCGAAAAATTCTGCCTTTGCACCTGTCAGGATGTTGGTGAACAGGAACACCGCTGGCATGATGGCGTCGCACATCAAATATGGCACCGAACATTTTGTTCACAGCAGCAGGCACTTAACGTTCTTTTTGGCATTGAAAACTCGTCCTGCCAGGAGATGGCAGCTATACTTTTGCATCCATCGTAGCTGCCTTTCAGCAGTCTCCTTGCAGGTGAAAAGGCAGATCTGCCTTTTGGACACTGCCAACTGAACTGGCTTTGTTGCTGTCTTTGCTCGGAACCATGGTCGATCGCCCCGATGGCTGGATCCATACTTTTGTGGCCAGTCTTCGCCCACCTGCAAGATGTTGAGTTATCTCATTGTCTCCACGCTCGTTTGTTCAATTTCCGATATTCGTGCCTGCTGGGGCCATTGTATAATTCCTAATAAGGAACATGATCTTGCTTTGTTTGCTTTACAGGTGAGCTTTCTTTATTACATCATGTCGTAAACCCATGCGGTGTCAAGTATCACATGCAAGGGGCGCAAAATATTTCATTGCATGTGCATACATACAATATGTGTACATACATATATGCATCCATGTATTGCAGTTAAGCTTCTTTGCATCATCGAATGCACATTTGGGACTAGTCGTTACAGTGGACAAGCCATTGGTATTGCAATATCCATTGAATTGATCAAAAGCTCTGAGCATTTACCTAAAAGATGAATCATATGTTAAGGATTATGTTGTTTACAAATTTCGCGCGATGCATACGGTTAGAGTACGCGTGTTGCATGCACGGATTCTGACAAGACTGACTTCTGCTAATCAAGCCGATATGGACTTGATTAGCAGAAGTTAGTCTTTTCAGAATTCAGTAGATGAGTATTGTGCCATTTTGCAGACGCGGCAATGGAGAATTCTGCACGTGAAAATGTAATTTGCTGCTCAGGGAGTCACCGAAAAGCATCAACAGTTTCTAGAAACAGAAAAGGCAACCAAGCATCATTCCGTTGTCTTAGACAACAATGCGAAGATTGACAAAACAAACAAACAACGTCTTTGGTGTTGGTGGTCGACCGTTCGCCGCGCACGGCTACACTTCGCCCCCGGCTCATCTGCAAAGGTGCAGGAGACCCAATCCGTCAACGAGGGGCCATTGCACTAACGGGCGCCAGCGATCTTATGTGGTGCAGGTTGCCTTGGCAGTGGCAATGCTTGTTGACAATTACTGGCCAGTGATACTGGGAAGCTGCGGTCTGTGCGTCTGGTCATATCTCTACGGGGCTTGTGAAGGAGAACCTCCGCTTGACGTAGTGAAGAAGGTTCGCGGGAGTCTTGCATCTACGGGAGAAAGGCAATTCGCCAGAAGATCGATGAGTCGGCTGGGAAATAGAATGGAGCAAAAGATTGGCTGCGCTACGGGGCATGAGCAAGCTACCTCTGTACTGCAGGAGTTGTCGCAAATTCTCAGGTGCACGGAGATTCTGGAAGATGGTCGTCTGTTCAGTGAATGCATCAGGGCATACCGCATCTTTATTGAGTTGGCATGGTACTCAAGCTACGAACGCCGTTTGGACATGGACAAAGATGCCATTCAAGGCATAAGCAAGGAAGTCAGTTTGATGAGGGGGCGTCTTGGGAGACGGAATTTGGCAGGGGCTCAGATTGATATGCACTGCATAGTGCAGGCCGAAAAGATGCTTGCACCAAACTGCTCGTTTTTGAATTGTCTGATGTCCGTTTTGCTTGCCGGAGTGAAATGCGCTTGTGGAGACTATGCTGGCGCAGTCATGCGCATATGCAAAGAGATCAAGACCGTGATGAACGGCAGGGTGGCAGTCTGGTACCCAGATGCATGCAAGGTTAGATGGCTGTGCGCCAAAACCAAAAGAGTGAGAGATTTCGAAGTTGTCATTTTGCCGATGATCAAAGAGTGTCTGGAGGGAAACAAGCACGCCGCTGCGTGTGCCGCCATGGCGCTCGCTCGCTTCCTCCAGGGCGACGCCTCGGAGCCCGACAAGCTACGTGACAGGGCCATTTTTGGTGATGTATCTCTGCAGTGCCTCAAAAGCCACGGGGGCAAGCTGGCGGATCTGTTCCAAACAAAGGAGAAGCCTGGTCTTGTCCACATCTTGTTCAGGCAGGAGGCGAAATTTCGGAAGGCACGCCGAGTGGCAGCTCAGACGCTGGTCGATTTTGCAGGCAGGATTGACCCAAGTGGTGGCACACCGTCTACACTAGACGGGGAGTACAGATCGATCATCCAAAAGCTGCTACGTGAAATTCTCAGTTCGCAGGCTTATCTAAAGGAAGCTGGCAAGCTCAAACCGTGGGAGAAAGAAAGTCTGGAAAAGGCTGTGGAGGACCTGGAAAGCGGGGATTTCACCGCATAGACACCTGTTGCGGCTCTTGATGTTGTCGTCAGTGGTCTCCTGGTGGCGCGCAAGAAAGTGAAGGCAACAATGAATTCAAAGCTGTGCGAAACAGTTATGAGGGAGGTTGATTCGATCACAAGTTGTCTTGATAATAATAGCAAAAGAACCATTGGAAAAGGGCATATTGAAATCCCATCTGAGGGCAGCTGAGGTGGCAATTTGGTATCAGGAAACAAACCAAATAAATAGCATTGGAGAGAGCCACAATGGGGAGACAACAGAACTTTGTGGATATTTATGCAATATTCGTGAAACAGGAGTGACATTGAGCTGAATCCGCGAGAAGATAACTTGGAATTATTCTTGGACAGAGAGTCTAGATGGCGATCACTTAGTCAGCCAAAGGGCAGAGGTACGTAATTTCAGAATGAAGAATTTACCAAGTGGTGGACGATGATGTAGATATCGCTGGAGACACGCAGAATCGTGATTCTTCTGTTGAACGATTCGGTGTTGCTGAAACAGTCGTGCTTTTTTGTTTGCCGCCACAAAATTGAAAAGCTGGAAGACTGCGAACGTCCCAGGACACAACTTCTCCAATTGGGTCTGTGGGAACAGTGTAGATTTTTTTTGCCAGGTCCGAGGCGAAATGTGCAGCCAATCCATGTCGAATCCCATGCGATCATGGTATTGTGCTGCTCTGCTGCTTGTGCCACTGGGTATGCACAGGAAGGTGAAGATTGTGCACAATGGCCTATGGCATGGAACACGGTTGGGCTCTTATGGGGACATGGCTGACATTCAACATTGAAGCAACAGCGAGAAACGACCGCGCGCACGCTGGCACAGGGACGATGGGCTGTCATCCATCTGCCAAACGCCGCACCTAGCGCATCAACAGCGACAACCCGAGGCTTTGAATTTTCATATCGGTTGGATGCGCGAGGTGTGCATCCCCGTCCCAGCCCCGCTTCGTGGGCCACCAACCGCTTAAAGCCATTTCCCCATTGCAATTGTTCAACAATTGTTCAACAATTGTTCAATGCAAGTGCTTCATTATTTGTGCAACGATGGGTGTCCAACAATATTTCGCCATTCGATGACGTGTCCACGAACGGTACGGCATTCAATGGGAGAAACCAACGAGGAACGCAACCGATTTCGGACGCTGATGCAGCTCTGCCTTGGGTTTTCATTGAGCACATCGCTGGCATTGCTTTCCTTGGACGAACTAGGCAGGGGCGACGACATCCACAGCTCGACATGCATATGCTTTTTATAAGGCGCATGAACATGGATGAAGAAATATCTTCACGCATTAAAACTGAATGCTCGCAACGGGAATAGAAGCAACACGGAGAACTTCCCGTCAGATTCTTCGATGCCAAATGGCTACCGCAGTGCCTTGAACATTCCCGACAGCCTAGACCCCGCGTCCCTCAACAGCTCGGCCGGCGCGCCCTGCTCCACCACTGCCCCGTCGGCCATCACGAACACGCGGTCGCAGCGCCTCACACACTCCAGATCGTGGGCAATCTGAATCACCGTCGCATCCGCCAGGTGGCGCTCAGCCAGGTCCGACATCTTGGCCGCGGTGGCGGCGTCGACGCTGGCAGTGTGCTCGTCGAAGACGACCACTCGCGGGCGGGCGAGCATCAGGCGCGCGAAGCACAGCAGTTGCTTTTGGCCCTCGGAGATGCCCTGGCCCCCGCGTCCCAGGCGGAAGTTGAGCATGTCGCGGAGGTTGGTGTCGCCGGGGGCGTTCCTGACGTCACGGCCTGGCAGTGGGGAGAAAAGAAGCTTCAGGATCCAAATGATGGAATTTCCACTACGGGTGCTCAGAAGAAGCCTTGCGCGGACACCAGCCCGCGGCGGAAAATTGGTCAGGTTTCGGGAATCCGCCGAGTGCTTTGTGGCCGGTGGGTTCAATTGAGTCCCTAAAGGTGCCGCCGAATGGCCGAAGAGTGCAAAGACGGCGACGAACCTCTGCCAGTGTCTTGTGCTGCGATGATATTAAGGAAGGATTTCTCCACGGTCAAGCACTGCAGTCTTCGTTCAACACGACCCCACAATCCACAACAACACGGAAGCGAAAGAATCACGTTGTGCGCATAGTGCATGAGTTCGTGCCAAGTTCGTCAATGTACCATGCGCATTGAGCATCACTGACATCAAATGGTTCGTGCACACACCGACAACCCCAATGCAATTGACTGAGCGCGATTCGCGGTGTCGCAGCCAACGACAATGTCCCCTGACCTGCTGCCTCTGCTCCCCCGCCGCCCCCACGCGGCTTCGCGGACAGCTCCCTCGCCAGACCCACCTCCTCCAGCGCCCGCCCGACGTCTTCATCGCCGTACCTCCCCTCGGGGTCCACGTTGCTGCGCAGGCTGCCCTCGAACACAAACGGCGTCTGCGGGAGCACAGCCACGCACCGCCGCAGGTCCTCTAGCCTCGCGTCGCAGACGTCCACCCCGTCGACGGCCACGCTGCCTGACTGCATGTCCGCCAGGCGCAGCAGCGCGTTCACGACGCTGCTCTTGCCCGCGCCCGTCCTGCCGCAGATGACGACCTTGCACCCCGCCTGGACGTCCATGGAAAGGCCCCTCAGGGCGCGGGCGCCCTGGGGGCCGTACTGCAGGTGCACGTCGGAGAAGCGGACGGCCGCTGCCGAGGAATCGGCGTCCGGCCGCAGCGCCCTCGAGTCTGCAGGCACATACGCTCACTGCGAAGGTATTGTTGTATGCATGTGTGCTTGTACGTAAGGTCGTCCCGTACTAAATGAAGCTGGGTCCGAATCCATGCCCGTCGCACATTATTGTCACTGCACCGGTGTTCGTCATTGCCAGCACCACGGCACCCATTTTAAAAGCGTGTTGCTGGTCCATTGCCTTGTAGTTTAGATGTTCAGGATCTTGAAACAGACACAATGCCTGACCAAAACATTCCCCTCAATGGGCGGAAAGTTAATTGTGCGCTCTGCAGCAACAACAGCACACCTCGACTGGACACGCCATACATGGTTCCCTTGCGCAAATGCGTTGTCATTGTGGCGGCTGAGCCATGAAAGCGTGGGAGAAATCTCTTGGCACAGACTTACCCGGACTGAGTTCCTCTTCTCCCTTGAGCCCGGCGTACTGCACGATGCGCTCCACAGACACCATGCCCTGCTCGATGTCCGCGAACGTGCTGACGAGTTCCCGGAGCAATCGAATGAGCGGAACGGTGTATGTCATGCTCAAGCCCAGAAAGCCCGCGCTTGCCGAGCCATTGCCGCCTGCTTGTCAACAACATGTTGTGTGGTGGGATGTCAGGTTACTCGCCAAATTCACTTGATCAGGGCCTTGGTGTGTTGACATACCAAAACGAGGTATGAGAATGGAGAGCTCCAAAATTTCCAGGGGGAGGGAAGGCTGCTCCCGGAGGCTGGACTCATTTTGATTAAGCCCCACATTACTCGGCGCAATGCCAACCCTGACAGAATACTTACACCGTATGCCTATCTTTCCGTGCATGCAGTAGTATGAAGAGGACACATGGGACAACGCACGATAAATTCACGAAGCGCATCCCACACTCAGTTCGATCCAGGCTCCTCAGCGACTCCAGTGGGCCGCGCATCCACCTCACTCACCCGCCACCGTCGCCAGCACCACCAACAGCGTCAGCGCGTTCGCCACGAGGTCCATGCGCAGCGACATCCACAGCTGGGCGCCCGTCCCCATGTGCACCGCCCGCTGGTGCGCGCCGCACAGCAGCTCGTACCTCCGCACGAAGTGCCCCTGGGCGCCGAACGCCCGAATGGTCGCCGCCCCCTCCGCGCACTCGGACAGCGACGACAGGACCGGCGACAGGGAGGCGCTCTCCAGCCGCTTGACGTCCCTGCACAGCCGCCTGTGCCACTGGTACCAGTCCAGAGGTGACTGGACGGGCGCCAGGCGCTTCCAGAAGAGGGCCGTGCTGGCCAGCGCGAGGACGAGGGACGGCTGGCCGTAGATCAGGACGGCGCCCATGCCCATTAGGGAGAAGAGCACGCCGACGAAGATGTTGGCGACGAAAGGGACGTCGAAGTCCAGGCGGGCCAGGTCCGTGGAGAATCGGCACAGGATCCGCCCGGTTGGCGTGCCGTCGAAGAAAGACGCCGGCAGCGTGAACAGGTTGCTGAGCAGGCTGCGGTGCAGGCGGCGTGTGGCCTGCAGGCCCGCTCGCGCGAAGGAGAAGGCTCGGAACAGCGTGAACACCAAGCTGGCGCCGGCCCAGGCGAAGAACATGCACGCAAAGTAGCTGCTGAGCTGCGTCCCTGTGGAGCCCGGCAGGCGCTCGTTGGCGTCCACCCAGCGCGCCATCCAGACGTCCGCCCCGTTGCTCGTAGTCTGAGTCAGCGCCAGACTTGCGGCCACCACGGCGACCGTCCCGAGTCCGGCAGCCCCGAGGTACGCCAGGTAGACCGCCCAGCTCACGGATCCCGTCATCGCATCGCCAGGATCCCCCTCTTTGTCGTCTGTCACACTGACGCCGACGTCTTTCTCTGCTGCGGACAGCAGCGAACCGTCTTCTCCACCGTATGCATGATGGCAATCAAGCCTTGCCGATGATCGCTGTCTTGTTCGCTCCTCAGAGTCGTCATGCTCATTCCCAACGTCTGCGCCATCTTCACCGTCCTGGCCGCCTTCCTTTCCTGGTGCGGGTGACGCGCAGTGCGCGACGCTGGTCAGACGGCCCTTGTGCAGTCTCAGGACGGCGTCCGCAGCGGCGATGCACTGAGCCGATTTGGTCACGACGATGCGCGTCTTCGACGACATCAGCGGCCCCGTTATTGCCCTTTGGACGATCCACTGCGACACGTGTGCGTCCACCGCAGAGAGGACGTCGTCCAACACGTAGACGTCTCTGTCTTGATAGAGGGCGCGTGCAAGGGCCAATCTGTTCCAAAGGAACTGTCGCTTGGGCAAAGAAAATATGAGAAAGCATCAAAGTGCGGCACTCAACGCCCCTGGGAAGAGTTGTTTCGAAAGTTGGCAGCCAGTCCCTTAACGCTGCATGCTATTTTACCAGATGCACGGAAGCTTCACCGCGTTTGGCTCAACATGGGCACAGGCATTAAATTAGATGTGCAAAAGGCACTGTTGCCGGTGATCTCCATTCGAAGACACACCCGACAACGCACACGAATCCCAACGCACATGGACACTCCCCAAAAAAACACTCTACCCAGCGACGGCTGCACACAGCAGCCAACCGCACCTCGCACGCTGGCCGCCCGACAGCTTGGCACCATGCATGCCCACGTCGACCGAATCGCCCCCCATCTCATCGACGTCATGGTCCAACGCGCAGGCCCACAGCGCTTCGTCATATCGACGCTGCTCGAACTCAGCGCCCAGCAACACATTGTCTCGGATGCTCCCCGAGATGATCCAATAGTTAGGATTCTGGGCGACGTACGCCAGCGTGCCGTTCACCTCTCGCCCGCCGCTCAGCATGGAGCTCTCCCCCAGAATGGCGGCTAGCAGGGAGCTCTTTCCGGAGCCCACGTCACCCAACACTACCGTCAGGGTCCCCTTCCGAAAGGCGAGGTTGATGTTCGCCAGAGACGTCGCCGGCCGACCGTCCTCAGCTTTTGCAGCTGAGTCGTCCAAATTCCCAAAATGGGCAAATGAAGCTCCAACGAACGTGACTGCTGCGACGCGTTCCTCCTTGGGCGGAGGAGCGCCAGGTGAGTCATCCGCGGCGTCTGGGATTTTGCCGTTGGCGGCGTCGCTCGTGGTGCACGCAGTGTTGCCAAAAGCCCAGTCGCCCTGGACGTCAGGCATCACGAGGAAGCTCTGAAGCCTCCTGAGGGACGACATGGCCTCCACAACACCTGCCCGGATCATTTCGCCATTTACACACTGTCGCAACTCCAGAATCTGGAGCTGTACTGACATCTGGAAGACGGAGCGCTCCAGGCCGGGCAGACGCGGAGGGATTGCACATAGGTGACAATTCAGAGATGAATGCTCTAGCAAGGAAACCTGCTGTGCAACTGGTGCAGCGCGAGTATGGGTGCAATAGCAAATGCGGCGATAAAAGAAGTCGCCCCGCGCCATTGCTAACAAAACCGATGATGAAGGAGTTGGGCAGGATGGGAAGAAACGGAAGACGAAAAGAGTTGCGAGGTCCATTGTCGACAAGCTGTTGCCAAGTGCATTGGATGAGCTTGGATTCGCCATCCTTCAATTCTTAGCTCCAGTGTGGAGCGCTGCTTTGACACGTTGATGGCCGTGGGTCAATGGAGTCATAGTCGACTTGCATTGTTCTTGACAGTGCAAAGTTAGCGAATTTCTCATCTGCGCGTCTCGACGCCTGCATCTCCGTACATAACACATCATAAGCAAAAACAAGGGAAAAGCCAAGGAATATTGTCCACGAGGGGAAGTTGCTTGCTCCGAAAAGGTTTCCATTGTCTTGTTTCAGGAGTTCCGATTGACGTGTACGCAATGCGTCCACCGAGCTGCTGGGACTATGCATGAGCGTGCGTAGTGAATGAATGAGAGCTTGTATTTAAGACGGTTCCAAGCAACCGCTGCAGCACAGCAGCTGTACACACAAACCCCATACAGGAACAGGAACCAGAAATTCAGAACTGCTTTCGCTCTGCAGCTCATTGGAGGGCATGGACTTCCGCATGCGATGTTTATACGATGTTTGAACACGGATGAAAACAACATGCCCAAATTGGCACTTTCTCGCGAGTGATTTCATCTCCCTATCATGATGGCACACCCACCATTTATGGCGCAGGGCAGAGCGTTGAGAGGGTGGCGCAGGATGTTGAATAGGAAGATGGAGGGAAAGACATTGGCGGCCGTCAGCGGGTGCCCCATGAGCACGCACAGTCCAAAGGTTGCCACCGAAAACAGGACAGAGGTTGCCGCCCAGAAGAACACGCACAGGGCGTCTAGATATTTGATGGAAGACAGTGAGTCCATTTCCTTGCACCTGGCCCTCGTGACCTGCGCGCCGCAACTTGGTCTCACCAAGTGAGTATGGGCGTTGGCCTTAGGCGCCCTTCTGGAAAGTTTAAGGCGCTTGTTGCCCCGGTTCCGGCCTATGGCGCCAGAGAATTGTACAATGCAAGTACACCGGACTGAACTGAGGAGGTGTTCCTTGTAATCCACATGGAGCAGCAATGAGTTTATCACGCGTTGTCTCTTACACTAATCATTGGCTCAAAGAGTACAATTTCGTGAATGCTCACGCCCCCTCGTTTTTTGTGTCAGCCCGAGAACCTCATGACCCAAAGGAAGCAAAGAACACATCGCAAAGTGGTGTGGTATCAGTGAGCTCGCTTAAAGTAGCCGCAGCACATCCATTAGGCATACAATGTGTGATATTGGCATCGGCGGGGCGCCAAGGCCACACAATTGCTGAACATATACTCTTACCGTTAACATTTACAACCACAGTCATAATAAGAAAGAAACAGTTATTCTTGTCAATCACTTCGTTAATACTACAGACAGCGTGGCATATACTTCTACTTGTGTTTCACCGAGCATTGAAAAACCTATTGTTCCAAAATTTTGATGCAACGATGGGTGTAATTGCATGAATGGCTCAATCTTATATTATTTCAATCGTGTATTACATTGCATGCAAGGAAAGGGGGACACTATTGCGCAGCACTGTGAATCTGTTCAACATTGACTAACGACGGTGAGCCTATCCCGGCATCCCACCCAATTCTCAAAAGTAGCCTCCCATGTCATCATCTTGATCTGCCTCATGCCCCTGATGACCTCGCCCATCAGGTGCACTCGCCTGTCTGTTGCCTCCAGCATTGCCTCATTCACGGCCTGAATTCTGAGCGTTAGCCATCGGTTGAGCGGCATAAGAGCAACCACGATGGCAAGACCTGACAGCAGTCCATAGCTGACCTGCATCAGCAAGCGGCATTAAAATAGTATGGCAATCGCCATATTTGATCCACAGCTAGATAATTTCAGTTGTTACCCAAGGTGGAACTTTCGCTGCCTTGAGAGACACCGAAAACTTCACATTCGATTCACCATTGTTGCTGATGCATGCATTGCTATGGCATTCGTCCAGCACCTTCTTGACTCAGGGGAAGGAATGCAATTGGAACGTCCCAACTCCCAGCCCCATGTTGTCAGAGCCCAGCACCACCAAATCTGGCAAAAGAGTGGGGTATACAGTTGCTCCCTAAAATCACTGTCTGATATCTTAGTTGTTGCTGGCTATCATTCAGGATATTAGCATCTTCTTTCTGTAACTATCATGCTTATCACCTCTATTCAGTGATAAGTACTTCCTTATCATTAGCTGTGCGACATCAAGGTACACACAATCTATGGTAAACAAATGTCCATAAAACATGCGTTGTGGATTTGTGTACAAAACTTGTCACATGTTGCTTGATGTCCTTTGCTTTCACAAGGAGCAACACATATGTCCACCTGACTATGCAAAGTGAGGATTCTAAGCAGTTTCAACAACAACAAGGGCATGTTGCATACATGGCACATCGGTATATGATACACAGCAAGCAGTGCGTATGGCCCAAACGTACAACCAGCTCAATTCTTTTAGGTCGTGCGATAATCGAATGGTACACGATCTGAACCTCTTTCCGGATCTTCCCAAGCACCCTATGGTAAGTTCAACAATGTGTGGAAGTATCACAACAGCTCACAAGAGCAGACGTAATGCACTGGTGCGGTGGAGCAACACCTGAAGATGCAGAAGATAAAGAGCGACAGCGATTTGGAGAGGGAGGCTCCATAGCTCATGGACACTGGCACACAAGTTGGCGACCCTGCCTGCATCTACAGACACGAGTGTCTGCACATTCATTCCCATGCACCCGTTCGGTGCCAGCAGCACCTTCCTGTACGTGGTACAGATCAGGGCTGCACGAAGCTGGGAGGAAATCCAGTCCTGTGAGCAAGCATC